AATCTAATAACCAATGTTGAGAGCTTTCCAAAACACTATAATAAAATTATTTTTTATTGAGTACTTTTCCAGTTACAAGACTCGAAAGTTACAGTAACGCCGGCATTAGCATTACGCAAGATGTCCGACCGACGTCTAAAATCTCTTGAACGTTGTTCAGGATCATGTCCTGGATAACATTTGTCAAGGTCAAGGCCATTGGAGAGTATTCCTCTTATTTTCATTTTTGCACTAAAAATTCATTTTTACATAAAAATGAAAATAAGAGGTACAGTTGGTCGAACACCTTGCGTAATGCTAGTGCAGGCGGTACTATAACCTTCGAGTCCTATAAATCGAAAAGTATTTTTATGAAAAATAACTTTATTATAGTGTTTTGAAAAGCTCTTGACACCAACTATTAGATTCTGGAATCAAATATAGGGTGTGCCATTTAAAATAATCGATGTGACCTTGACCTGACCTTGTCAACGCCACCCAATGTCAGACTGACCAGATCAGTAAATAGAACACTTAAAACCCTACAACTTTTCTAGGAAACATTTCTTTCGAAAATGCTTAGTTTTCGAATATTTCATCGGTCGGGGAATTCTTATTCGCTCTATAAATTTGTATATTATACCATAAAATTTTTATTTCATAATTCATATTTTTTACCTGTTCTGTTACCGTTTCGCCAATATAACAGAATATAAAAATGTTGAAAGTCATGGATGTATATATAATCATCATACAGGCTATTGTTACTTTTGTCTCTATTGTGTTCCATCCCTGAAAGTTTATCATAATGTATTATGACAATTTATGATGCAATTTATATATATAATTATTATTAAATGTATTATTATATGTTAAATATTTCTAAAAAGTAATATAAGAACGCAATGCCACAGTACATCCAGTAAGACAGTAGATGAAGATCGTGGGCCAAAATCTGACAGCGCATGCACAAAAAAATACCGTGTGGCAGTGTTATTTGTTGTTCACGTCAAGTCATAGCTACGGTCCGATTCACATTTACAACATTCGTGAGTATCATTTATTCTTGTTCAACATTTAATGAAAAACAAGAATGAAATAATTCTATTACTGATGATAATAATCTTATCTTATAAAAACAACCAAGTCAAATTAATATATGATAATATATTTCTAATTCTGTTCATAATTGCGTTTCAAGAAAAATGTCGACTCGCAAAGAATGTTTATATATACAGAATTAAATTTATATATAAATTCACACTGAAATATTTACGCATTAAAATTCGCTTTGACTGAAAACAGGATTTTCTCTTACTTAATTAGACTTATTTTCATTAATCTAATCTCAAATTACTATTATTAATAATTACCTTCTGAAATTTTACGCTTCTTTATATCAAAGATATGACGGTAAGTCAAGTGATTCTCAAATCATAACATCGTGTTTGCTGTCGCTATTGGTTGTATTGTGGCAATTTTTTCTCTGCGATAGTTATTTCTTGTATTTGCGTTTTTCATTTTGCAATTTATTTAAGTATGAAAAGTCATATATGTGTCTTAATTACACATTCACTTTTTAATTTTTTAGCGTACCGTAATAATATAATATCCGAGCATACATAAGTTAAACGTACATCCTAGCAATTCTACAAAACAGATTTGATTTAAAAGTGCTTCCATTTGTGCCACGAAACTGTAAGTAACATAAATTACAATCATATTTATACATATATAAACTTTCTTTGGAACTAAATTATAATATATTAAGAGAGAAGGAAAAAGAGAATCAGATGAGACATAGTTTTGGATTGGTTCAAAGATCAAAGACATCAAAATATAAAAGATTTTATTATTTATACATCAAGCAGAAACATCAATTTTTAAATTTATATCAATATACCTTAACACTCTCAGATGGTGCTGCACAATGATTGCCAATCGATGCTGTACCATATCCTGCTGCTTTCGATCGTCCAGCTGGTCCAGCCATCTCATCAGTATATTCAACTGGCCACACGCGTGCATCGCAAACACCGCTGCGAGACTACAGGCACCGGCGGTGACGGAATTGACGACGATGCTCGAGATGAGCTGCACAGTAAACGCAATATCGCCCGCCGAGCTCTTCGTAATATCTACGAACTTGCTGTACGTGGGACACGGTAATACATGCACTGACACGCTCACGTTCCCGACATATACAAATGTAGGCATGATGCCCTGTATCACGCTATGCGAGAACACACCGCCATGCATGAAAATTGCGCATATCCCAGCGACAAAACGGCCAAATTTGGCATATTTCAGCATCACTTGCCGGTCTTCTATGTCTGTCATCATAAGCCAATCAGTCCTTACGTGCTCCACGCAACGGTATATATCGCGGCTGCGAAACAGCAGTGAGAAGTAATTCATGCCACCCATGCACCAGTGACTTAATGGACCAACAGCTCTTAATTTTTTCTGCACATCGGTCTCTTCGAACAGGATGTTCAGAATACAAGGTATGACCGTGTAGGCTACTAACGAGTAGCAGATGATTACCAGTATTGTTGAAATTACTTTTTCTCTAACTGTTGTCGAGGCTGAACTTGGCCAAGCGCCCACCAGTTTTAGAAGCCAACGATTCAATTGAATACTGTAATCACTCGCGTCCCGTTCTGACATGACAGAGTCATTGACATTCATGATTGCTCACGGAACGCGTGAATGCTACTGAATCGACTTAAACGTACATGGAATTGATAGAAAGTAGCGCCTGCGCCAGCGAGCAACCAGTAATAGTTAGTAATAGGATATTTGTGCGTCTCGTCAGTCGATCGATACTCACGGAGTACGCTACACGTGGTCTCATAAACGGTACCTCATAAAATAAATTTGCTATAACATACATTCGCAAGGACATAAATTTATTGCTTTGTATAAATATGAAACTTCTATATATAATTCAAGTAGATATGTAAACTTCATTGTTGTGTTTCAAATGTTATCCGTCGGGAATATTAAACAGATGAGAAATTATTTTTTTTTAGAAAAATACCCGTGTAATCTCAAGGAGACACTCTTTTTTATTATTTCTCCTGTAAGAAATATTTATTTTTTTAATATTAAAATTAAGAATAATTTTCTATTTATTATATAAATATAGTTTATGTTTTAATTACATCAGCAAAAGTTGCGATTGACAACTGCAATAATCTCCAGTGATAACCTCTCGATAACGTTATTCTATCGCGCTAATATCAGAGTTATACCCAGAGCATTTTAATGCGGTAATCCGTTTCAATTACTCATATATGCCTTTTTGCCAACTTTTTTACACTAATAAATTAATTAATATAGGTATTCGTAAATTTCTACATAAGCGTTTGTTGTATTTTCAGAAATGGGAGAAAAAGTTAAGAAACAATTCGAGTCACAAAGCTCAAGTCATTAAACGATTTTTTTAACGTAGAATAATTAAATACATTATTCTTAAGCATGAGGCGTCAAATGGCCTGCGGCTCGATGCGATTGACTCCTTCTGTAAAGATGGAATCACACGATGCTCGAATTCATTTCTTGAATGATAACACGCATAGAGTCATGCCTGCTTCGGCTGCGTTCGGGAACGTCGTTCGGATGCCACCGATGCCTCAGATTCATCATTTGTTCTTGTTTAACATTTAGTGTTAAACAAAAACAGATGATGAATCCGAGGCATAGGAGGCATCCAAGTGACGTTTCCGAACGTAGCCTTTGATGTATGCTAGAATATGTTGATGTATTAAGCGCTGTATGCTACATATACATGATTTTTATATTTATGGATTACTTCATAGCTTATTTCCTTGCATGCGCCAATCAAAAGAAACAATTGCTAATTTCATAGTTATTTGTCAAACGTCAAACTGTATGCATCAAATCAAGCATAGCAGCATACATGCTTACATTGCTTATATTATTCAAGAAATCGTGTGATTCCATCTTAAATCTGGGTTCAAGACCCATATACGCGTTTTTTCGCGTTTTAAGAGTCCAAAATGGTGATTAAGGAACCTTTTATCACTAATTCGACATTAAACTGTAGGTCCCTCTCAGACTGGGTATTAAACATTAGGCTAACAGTCTAAATAAAAAATAAGTCATTGTCACAAACATTTCATTAGAGGCCCTATACTCGCAGGAGTTACACCGAATCTACAATAGGTGTTTTAAGCCTTAAGTCGTCAGAAATTGATCAATTACAGTCGAATCCGAGTAGAATAAGCGACTATGATTTGCCCATTTCTTATGGCTTAAGACTTAAAACCCTATTGTAGATTCGGACTTAAAGAACTCTCTCTGACGTACTTAAGCATAATAATTAGGGTAACTCTAGTTATTATAAATTTCCTGAGGAATTACTTGTTTCGTGACTATCTCGCCGTTGTAACAAAATATAAAAATATTAAGTCTTAGATACATATATGATAATGTATGATATCATTCGTGCTGCATCGAAATCACACCAATTCTGGAAAATCAGAAATTAATATTAACATTTTATAAATAAGAATGTTACAAAGTATTAATAACATACATTTGTGTTTTTAGCATACCATAATAGATAAATATGCAAGTAAACTATGTATATTTCTATAGTCGTAAGAATCATAGTAAATTTATATATTTTTATAATTTTTTATACTTATTATGACCCAGACGAAATGACCATATTAAAGATCAAAACGTTCATTTTAAAATTTCTTACACTGAGTATCGATATATTTAGCATTGAAAACAAGCTAGACTAAAATAGCCTTCATTTATTTATTGTTTGAAATTATATCATTAGATCCTTACAGTTTGCTTCAATTTAATTCTTAATAATTTTTATTTATATTATTTTCTCCGGATATAGAAATATAAAATACATATTCTAGATGTCCTATATTTTATTAATAATTCATATTATTATTTATACATAATATATAAATTTATAGTGATAACTAGAAAATTTGCTAACGCTTTGTACAAAATGGTGTAAATATTATTTTCTAAGAAGCTGTCATAGTCCGAAGCATGTTTAGATATATCATGGAGGATCTTATCACCTAAAACATTTTGAACATATATTTGGCTGTAAAACATAATATACATAGGCGCCGACTATGGCGGAAGGGGGTGGGTGGGCAGACTTCTAGCTCCCTCAATAATTTTAGAGGATGCAATGCCCCCTCAACAATTTTTATCTTTTTGTTTTTTAAAAAAAGGTTTTTTAACAATTGTAAATAATTTCTGCGATCAAAACTGTGAGAAAGCCTCGGCTACATGACATACACTATACATAACGTTGACGTGGCGAATTAAAAGTGGTGACACTGGCACATCGTCTGCTATCCCAGGGTGCCTTCCAACAAGAGACGGTGTAATGACACGGTGTGATACAGTTCATTACATCATTCCATTCTTGTTCTTCGCCAATGTTAAACAAGGATGAGATGATTATTGTGTTGTACTGAGTCGCTTGTTGAAGCGTGTTCTAATTCCCATCAAGGTACATTCAAGGTACTCCTCTGCTGTCATGTCCTTGTTTAATATTTGTTAGACAGCAAGGATGACGTGATACCCGGAGAGCAACCAGGTGGGAATCCGAACATGCCACTCGAAAGAACCCCCAGCGTCACTGCACAACACATACCAAATAGAAACCTGAGAAAAGGACAAGAGGGCCCTTTTCCTGTAACCAAATACCTGCAAAATATCTTGTACATTATAGTCCTCTGAAGAAGTGGACGTCAACTACACAATATTTTCCACTTTTTTGCGATACTCTTGATGGAAATAAATCGCTGAAATTGTTAAAATCTCTATTAATTTTAGTATTTCAGCGATAGATTTTAGTTATTTCAGCGATTTATATCTGCCAGTAGCACAAAAAAGTGAATATTGTTGTGTCAGTCCCCCCCTATTATTTCTCGGTACCTCCCAAATATTTTTCGTAAGTCGGCGCCTATGACAATATATTTAATATACACTTTGTGTACTTACATCACCAAAAGTTGCGATAGAAAGATGAACTAATTTTCCTGCAGTTAATTCGATCACACTACTCGATCGGGAGATAATTAAGATCAGACCTCGAGCCGTTTTATACGGCAAACGATACCAATCAGTCATGTAAGCTATTTCCCCTACTTGTTTACACTATTAAATTATTTATTTCATAATATGGAAAAGTTATGATAAATGATGTATTTAATACTTTTTTTTAATAAAACTTAAACAAGATATAATACATATAAGAATATATATGTTATACTAGAAAATTTTTATTTCATAATTTGTTTACCTGTTCTGTTACCGTTTCGCCAATATAACAAAATATAAAAATGTTGAAAGTCATGGATATATATATAATCATCATACAAGCTATTGTCATTGCCGTCTCTACCGTGTTCCATCCCTGAAAGTGTATCATAATGTTTTATGATAATTTATGCAATTTATATATACAAATATTATTAAAAGTATCATTATTAAAAATATTATTAAATGTTGAAAAATAATATTATATATAACAAACTGTTGAAAAATAATATAAGAATGCAATGCCACAGTATATCCAGTAACGACAGTAGATGAAGATCATAGTAATATCATAGAAGATCATAGAAGATCATAAAGATCATTCAAAATCGGAGAGCGCATGCAGGAAAAATTATTGTGTGGCGACGTTACTGGCTGTTCACGTCACAGTCATAGATTCACATTTACAATACTCGTGAGTATCATTTATTCTTGTTTAATATTTAATGAACAACACGAATGTAATAATTCTAATAATGATGATAATTTTATCTTACAAGAATAATCAAATCAATTCAATATATGATATTACTTTCTGATTCTGTTAATGATTGCATTTCAAGAATGAAAAATGTCGATTCGCAAAAAGAGTATGCAAAATGGATTTGTACATAAATTCTCACCGAAATATTTACGCATTAAAATTCGCTGTGACTAAAAATAGGATTTTCATTTACTCGATTAAACTTATTTTCATCAGTCCAATCTCAAATTACAATTATTAACACTTATTTTCTGAAATATGATGCTTCTTTACA